TCAGCCGTACTCACCAAAATTTCTTGGGAAAAATGTCTGAAAAGAATAAAAGCAAAAGCAAAAATAACGTGAACGAAAAGAGAGAAAGAGAGAGAGAGAGAGAGAGAGAGAGAGAGAGTCAGACAGAGATAGACAGAGTGACAGAAAGTAAGAATGCGCCTATGTATGAATGTGTCTATGTGTATGAATATGTGTACGTGTATAAATATTAGAACTTATCTATGCTTGCCATGCAACTTGACAAAGAATGGGTAACATCCACGGTTTATTATGATAATCATATGTAAAGGATGAGAAAGCGTACATCTTTCAAAAATCATGAAAAGCAGTTTTTAATGTGTTGTAGTCTGTTGAAAATGGTTTTGATAGATGAACAAACCATATCGCAAAAAAAAAAAAAAAAAAAAATAAAGAACATTTCAAAAGCATCGTCGTTAAGATGGAATTGATTTTTTTATTTCTTTTTTATTTTTTTCTTTTTATGGAGATACGTGATTTTATTATCAGTACTGAGAGAGAGAGAGAGAGAGAGAGAGAGAGAGAGAGAGAGAGAGAGAGAGAGAGAGAGAGGGAAAGAGAGAAAGAGAGAGATATGTTATATGAAATAATTAAAAGCATATGCGTTACGAATATCTCTATGAATGTAAATTATAAACACAAACTTACACACACACACATATACTTATATTTATTAACGAAAAATGTCTAACAGGATTATTATAAATATTTAATGATATTTTTGAAAAAAATATATAATATATATAATATAATATATAAATATATAAATAATAGATCAAGTGGGATATTATTAGAAAGATTTTCTAATTCTCTTTACGATATTGTTATCTTTCTTTTTTCCATTTTCCTTTTTTTTTTTTTTTTTTTTTTTTTTAATTTTGAGTCAATAATTTCCGAGAAAATCTTTCAGAAGTTTCAAGTTGAAAATAATTTTTCATTATATATATATATATCTCGAGGGAGGAAGAAATATCGAAGTAAACGTTGGAAATCCGAACTTACGTCGTTTTACTTACTTCCCTCGATTCCTTCATTGCTCGACGTAAGGAAAGACGGATGTGCCGAGTTGGCAAGAGAATCGTCACGCTAGCCGTGATGCGGCATTTTCTGCGGACAAATATCGACGACCAAACACGGATATATATTAAATCGCACGAGCATGAACACGAGCACGAACATGGCTTCTTCTTATCTTTTCTTTTTTTTTTTTTTTTTTCTTCTCAAGTAAGAGAATCTTTCGTAGGCGTTACGTAGTAATGGATGGATATGCATCTATGCACATACATATATGCGATGTATCATTTACTCGATCATATATAAACAATAATCGAAAAAATATTTATCAATATAAATAATATAAATGGACAAAAAATTGTTTGTAATTTTATGACAGAAAATTTATACATATTGTTTTGTAACATGAAAATAATCGAATGCTTACTTATTCGAATGCTGTTTACACATTCCATTGAGAACATTGGGATATCTTTTAACGTTTGTAAAAAATTTAATCTATGTATGTCTATAGGAAATATATTAAAAATTAATGGAATCATAAATGGAACATAAACTGTTTGTATCTTATATTTGATATATATATATATATATATATATATATATATATATATAAAGAAGTAGCAGAAGAAGAGTCGAACTGTTATATAATCTAAAAGATGACAAATATTTTGTACTAGTTTTATGTTCGATCGGAATATGAATTTATTTAACGTTCGAGTGACGTTCTGCTATGTTTCGTGATAGACCGTACAGACAGAATACATACATACATACATAGATAGATAGATAGATAGATAGATAGATAGATAGATAGAAAGTAAATCGATCAAATCGTATATAATATCGCTGATATGTCCGATCTCACGTAATACTTGTTCTCTCTCGTTCTATTTGTTTCATGTTACCGGCAGTTGTTCATGATCGATAACTGCGCGGACGATTGGAGGATCGCTATGACCTGGCAGCGGATCTCCCAAATTTCGGTTGAATTGCTGATATGCGCGATCCATCCGATACCCGGGGAATATTATTTCCTATGGACGACCAAGTTGGCGAACAAGGGTGGTGACATTGGCTCCAAATGGGTGCCATACGATGTCACCCTCTCGCTACCGATGTTCCTTAGACTCTACCTCATCTGCCGGGTGATGTTGCTACATTCGAAGCTCTTCACCGATGCATCCTCGCGCAGCATAGGAGCATTGAATCGCATTAACTTCAACACACGTTTCGTCTTGAAAACCCTGATGACTATATGCCCGGGTACGGTGCTATTGGTCTTCATGGTCTCTTTATGGATCATTGCCTCATGGACGTTGCGACAGTGCGAAAGGTAAATTATTTCTTTTTCTTTTTTCTGTTCTTTTTTTTTTTTTTTTCTTTTTTTTTATATATATATATTTCCTTTCCCTTTGTTTTTTCTTTTCTATGGATTTATATTGATTATCGTTATCGAGAAACATGGTGTATTTAATTATACTTATTTTAAATTATACTGGTTATAAGTACATATATATATATATATATATATATATATATGTATATATATGTATCTATGTCTATACGATTATGTTAGTATTATATAGAGTCATATAGACTTATATGGTTATACTAACTAGAGAGTTATATTGTAGAGTATATAACTATATATTAGAGTATAATTCTAGTATATTAGTCTAGTATGTATAGTACGGCAATATAATTATACCAACTACGTACCTATATACGTTACGTACTTTATATATGTTTTATGTTATATTGAATAGATTTGAAAATAAGTGCCATTTATTTTATAAATTTTTTTTCTTTTCTTTTCTTCCTTTTTCTTCTTTTTTTTTTTTGTTTTTTTTTTGTAAGAAATTTCTTAATTATGACAACTTATTTCATTATGAATCAACTCGATACACAAATCATTATTTATTATCTTTAGTTTTGTTTCTAGTTTATTTTTTTCTTTTTTTTTTTTTTCAGAATTTTCTTAAAAACCCTATTCGCGAAGATTAGAAGAACGATTAAGGTGTCACAGTTTTGACACCTTAAAATTTTGATATTCAAACTCGTCGAATATATCGAGTGGAAAAATTTTTGTATTTTTTTTTTTTCTTTTTTTTTTTTTTTTGCGTTACGGTATTTCAAAGAAAAGATTAAGAATCGTTTCGTCATCGTACGTGATATCTAATTATTATAGACGCAAGTTCATCTTTCATATTATATATTTAATTCAAAAAAAAGAAAAAAAGAAAAAAAGAAAAAAGAAAATAGTATCGCTGGATTCGTCTTTTGCTTTAGTCAATAGCCGATGAAGATGGGAATTAAATCTCAAATTTCGACATTGTTCCATTATAATGATCGCTCGGTGTCGAGAATGAATCTCTCTCTCTCTCTCTCTCTCTCTCTCTCTCTTTCGCTTTCTTTCTCTCTTTCTTTCTCTATCTCTCAATTGCAATCGGCGTAATTAAATTCTTACGTAAATGGCATAGTCAAGGAAGAAAAAGAAATAATCGATTTTATACAGAGAGGGTGCCGACTGGAATGGATTATCCTACTACAATCGATGATGTCATGAGTCATAAAGAAAATAAATTAAAAATGACGCAACTCTTTGTCCAGTTATCTTTGTATTTTTATTTATTTATTTATTTATTTCTTTTTGTTTTTTTTTTGTTTTTTTTTTCTTTTTGTTTTTTTCCTCCCTTTATATTTCTCTTAATATTATCTTTACTCCCATAACAGAATGATCGTTGATAATAAGGATAGAACTTATTTGATTTAGCTTTTTACGAGAATAAATTATTTCCATATCATTTGTTTCAAGATCTTTCGAATCACCCCGTATAACTCGTAAACTCTACTCGCGTGGATAAGCAAAAATATTTTCTCCTTTTCTACTTCTTTTAAGTGACGTCTTCCATTGACTCGAGAAAACCTTCCGGATTCTTCCTTTCTCTCTCTCTCTCTCTCTCTCTATCACTCGTTTTGTTCTTATATTTCCCTCATTTTCCCTCTCTCTTTTACCTTTCCTCCTTTATTCCCTTTCTTCTTCCTCTTCTTACTTCACATTTCTTTTTCCTTCCTTTTTTTTCATTGCCCTATTTAATGGACGAACTTCTTCCGCCTTTTTTTCGTTCGTTTTCTGTTTTTCTTTTTTTCTTTTTTTTTTCTCTTTTTTTTTTTCTTTTCTTTTATTGCCGCCTTAACTGAAATATTTATCACGTTTGGAATATTTAATAGTTCGTACGAAACTGTTTGTAAGAACTTCCCGTTAAATCCTCAAGACGATCAGCAAGTATAACAAAATTCATCGCACATATACTTATTGGTGTATATATATATATATATATATATATATATATATATATATATAAGGTGTATATATATACATAAGGTGTATATATATACATAAGGTGTATATATACATAAGGTGTATAGATATATATATATTTCTATAGGTATCCATTAAAATTCGGTACATCGCTCTTCAACCCAATTCGGTATTCACCCTTATGAAATCAGCAAACCAACGACTCGTAATACTCTAGACACGTCCCTGACCGATACGCCATTTTTCTTTTATTCGAACCAAGGATACGAATTTCCTTTGAACATAAATTCTTCTCCTTCATTAATATTCTTCGTTTTGCTGCTCTTTATCTTACTCTCTTTCTCTCTCTCTCTCTCTCTCTCTCTCTCTCTCTCTCTCTCTCTCTCTCTCTCTCTCTGTCTCTGTCTCTCTTTCTTTCTCTTTGTCAAAGATGAAAAGCTAATCCTATCGGTTTTAATCCTAATTGAATTTTTTAAAGTTCATCTTTTTCTAAGAATTTATAGATATTCATAATCCAAAGTCACAAAAGAATTACCAATTATACATTATACTTTATGTTTTTTTTTGTATTTATCTCTTATATCCATAATCATTTTGACGAAAATCCAAATCCGATAGAATTCATACGGAACGTACGTTGCATTGAGATATTTAATGAAATCAATCTCGTATGAAATCTATAATCTCGTTGTATTGGTTTCCATATTTGACCAATCAAAAGGTCATTCGATTATCAGAATTAAATAGGAATTTCCTTTGGATTCAATTGATATTAATTTTCTTTGATAAATAAAACGTTTATATTTTAATCGAATAAAAGAGAATACGTTTGATACCCTTAGCTTTGATTTCCTTTTTTTCTTTCCTTTCTTCTTCATTTAATTCGATTTTATCTTTTGGTACATATGTACCTATATATATATCTATGTATATAACGTGAAGGTATCTATTAAAATCTGCTAATAAACTTTAATGGTCGATTGGTATGCCAACGCATACGGAAGACCGGAATAGAAAGGTTCCTCTTTCCTTCTTCGTTTTTCGATATCCAAGGATCCCCTTGAGAATTGCTCTCTTGTAAAACGGGAAGCTGAACGCGAATGTATATCTACAAAAGTTTCCTTTGTTCCTTTTCATGAAACTTTGGGAGAACGTGTCTCTTGAGAACTTTAGCTTTCTTCGTTATTTCCTTTTCTAGGAAAATGTGCGCGCTTGTCGTTGATCGTATTTTCCTAAGGACTATGATCCCTTTCAATGATTTTATTTATTCCTTAAGTTTAACCAAAAAAAAAAAAAAAAAAAAAAAAAAAAAAAAAACCCTCCCAAAAAAAACCCCAAGAAAAAGAGATAAGGAAAAGTAAAAGAAAAAAAGAAAAAAATGACGAATTCGAACATTCGATAATTCACTTTTTTTTTTTTTTTTTGTTTATATATTTATATATATCTGTTATAATTAACAAATAATTGCGAGCCAAGGTTTGTTCTCGTACGAAATTAACTAATGAATTCTATATAACAATTAAATACCTTTTATATCATTTCTCATGATTTTACGTATGGTAACGAGGTCAAATTTTTATGACGATACGTTAATGAGAAAATTTTTTTCTAAAATTCTTCGTTTTATCATATTTTTTTTTTTTTTTGCAGTGGATTAAATGAAATAAAATGAAAATTTGATTGTACGAATAACGAACCTTACGAGATTTGTTAATACCTCAAAGAGAGAGATTCTTGAAATGTTTTACTTATTTTATAAACATAAAATTGAAATTTTTCCAGGTAGTAAGGGTTTTTCATAATGTATACAATAAATCATATTAACATTCTACTGTGATAGCGATTCCTATCAACCCTTGGCCCATCAGACCGACGATGCACGACATATTTCGATTCTACGAATCTCGAGTGAAATCGAATTCGCATATTCTAATCCGAGAATCGTGTTAGACATGTAAATCGTAGTAGAAGGGTAAGGGCTCGACGACTCCGTAGGAAAGCGGATAAGCTCTAACCGATACGATCGATAAGAGTTTTCTTCGCTTTGTGTATGGGTGTGTGTATGTGTATTTCTCTGAACTAACATCAACATTTGAAAGATGTGATACGAGGGCAAAAAAAAAAAAAAGTACGAAATGAAGGAAAATGAAAAAAGCAAAAATGGAAAATATGTCTCAGTGAAAAATCAAAAAAAAAAAAAAAAAAAAAAAAAAGAAAAAAAAGGGGGAATAAAAAAAAGAAAAAATGAAAAATATATTTCAAAGGAATAAAAAAAAAAAAGAATAAAAAGAAAAACTAAAAAAAAAGAAAGAAAAAAAAAGAAAAAAGGAAGAAAGAAAGATGAAAAAGAACAGATCAAATTATGATGATTTCAAATAAGATAAAAATGTGATAAGAGTGATTGACATTTATTAAGGAAAAAAAAAAATATATATATATATATCTCTATTTAATAAATTTATATCTATTGAATTTTGAGAATGATATCGTTATTATATTTCTATGTTTGTCGATTCAGATTCCACGATGAGGAACATGCGAATCTTCTCAACGCCATGTGGTTGATTGCCATCACGTTTCTCAGCGTTGGTTTCGGTGACATCGTACCGAACACGTACTGCGGTCGAGGAATAGCGGTTTCCACCGGAATGATGGTAAGATTTTGTTGAAACTTCGATTGACTATACTTGTATGATCTTATATGTTATCATTCTAAGATGAGTTCCTAGTTAATATCATAGCGCGTTACCTTTGAATTTGTATTACGGAAGAGAAACGTGCCAATCCAGTTTAATGGTTACGATACGTTCAACTTAACTATTATGAATTTTAACAAACAACTATAATACAGATACATACATATGTATGAAAGCAATCTGAGGGGGTGAAGCCATTGTGTTGTTACACAGGCTCCAACTTAATCAAGCTCTGATTTTTAACCTTGGAAGTTATGCATAAATTATTATAATCTCATTGTTCGAGATGGCCTGATGCTCGTTTGGTTAGAACGATATAATACACGTGTAAAGTGGTTTGTTAAAATTTGCATAAAAAAAAAAAAAAAAAAATAAAGTACAACTTTAAAAAAAAAAAAGAAAAAAAAAACAGAAAAAGAAGATATAAATAAAACGGACGCAGATAAAATTATCGTTCGTTTGAAAGAGACTTGAAATAAATATTTTTTCATTCCTTTTATATTACATATATATATATATTTTTTTTTGCTATCTCCATGTAGAAAAAGGCTTTACAGAATCAAAAATTCGTATGTTCGAACGTTGAAAGGATGACAAATAATCAATGATATTGTGAAATTTCGGAAGACGCCACTTCCCTCGTATAATCGTCAAAGTAAATAAACAGCTTGGCAACGACATGATTGATTGATGCATGCCAGGTGGGGGGGGAGGGGGGAGCAAGCGAATTTTCGTATCCAAGTCGTTTACCATGATCCATTTGATATCTCTCTCTCTCTCGCGCGCGCGCGCTTTCTCACGCGATATCTAATAGGCTCAGACGACGATATCGAGAATTCCATTTTATCGTTCATTAATCTTCATCACGATGCACACTATCGATACGCTGTGTCAAGGAAATGAAATAAAGAAATAAAGAAAAAAAAAACAAAAAATACTTATATATGTATATATGCACCTGTATATGGCACTAATTAATTCATCAAATATTATTTAATTATTCAATTATTCAAACAATATTAACATCAGTAATTTTTCTTCTTTCGTTGATAATTATTTTAAAATGAATTCGAACGATGATTAGAGATTAATTGAAAGTAAATCTACGAAATAGTTCGTCAATGGTATACATGATGTATACACACACACACACACACACACACACGTACACACGTATATACATATAAGATGATTCAACGATTTATAATGTATCCTCCAATAAAATGATTAAACGACGTTAATCTATAGAAAGATGATAAATTTTTTAATTCACCGTAATCGTTTTATTTATTCGAAACTATTCGTAAATCATTGATAAAGTAATTCGTCGATACGTTGTAAATGATAAATAGATTTAATCGGGGAAAAAGCACTATAACTTTCGGTATTATAGGTTATATATCGACGGGACGATTTTCTGCACGGAAATGCCATTCTAGATGTTCTTAGATATATCGAAGTAAAAGAGAATTTTACGATAGTAACAGCAGTGCCGTTGAAGTAGAATCAGGAAAGATATTTTGAAGAGGGAAACAGCCGGGCTATAACGAACTGTACTCATACCGAGTCTAATCTTCTAAACAAGTGAGAAAGAGAGAAAGAGAGAGAGAGAGAGAGAATGAGAGAATGCACCGGTTACTTATCGTTATTGTTGCGCCATGCTCCAACTGCTAATTCACTGGCACAAATTTGAAGGCAACACCGCGAGAAGCATTAACCAATTTAGCTAGAAACAGCTACACGTTTCGCGAAGCAAATTTAGCATTAAGTTCAGCTCGATGAGCACGTATATAGTATAGATATAATAATAAGTACATAAGTCCACTTTTCAATCGTTCCTCATCATCCCTTAATGCCACTTATCGTCTTATTGATAATAAATTCGATTTATCAAGGTAATAAATTTCAATATTCCCTTACGTATGCATTAAAGAAAAGGGCAAAGAATAAAATAATTTAGTATTATCGATTCAATGATAATCGTACGATACGTTTTCCTTTGGTTTGCTTTAAAATTTATAAACTTCTCTTCTCTCTTTATCTTGAAATTTTTAAGATATATTCGCCATTTGTTTTTTTCTTTCTTAACCCGAACGAAAGTAGAAATCTTAAGGGGGAAACCCATTTTTATTGTTTTTTTTTCAGGGAGCAGGTTGTACGGCTTTGCTCGTCGCTGTTGTTTCCAGAAAACTGGAACTTACAAGGGCGGAGAAGCACGTTCACAACTTCATGATGGACACGCAGCTAACGAAAAGGGTAAGAGCTCGTTTACTGGTTACTACGTTGGAATATGAAAGCAGATATTTCGTAGTTGCTAAAGTACAGAAAAATGTTCCATTATGGATGAAAGAAAAGAAAAGAAAAGAAAAGAAAAGGAAAGAAAAGAAAAAAAAAGAAAATAAAAGAAAAGAAAAGGAAAAAAAGAAGAAGAAGAAGAAGAAGAAAAAGAAGTAGAAGTAGAAGAAGAAGAAGAAAAGAAAAGTGTTGTAAAAGTTAAAATACTAGGTAAACTTTTTTTTTTATTAAAATTCTTAACCAAAAGATCCTGTATTATCAAGTTTCGCAACTTGACGACGAGGATCGAAAATATATCTATATATTATCATGAGGAAGATAACGAATGATTATCGGAAATTCCGTAATTAGTTAATAGCTTCATTGTTTGCTAAAACAACGGAACTAATTTTAAGCCGGGCTTGTTTAATTTTCGATCAGAATGTAAGCATATTATCGATCGGTGGAAGTGGGTTGGACATTGGGTCGTTGAAAGTCGTTCGTTAAGATCGTTCGAACGTCCGCAATGTACGGCATTTTTCTCGGCTCTACAATCTGGATCGAAGCTCTTTAGCCGACTACCACTGAAATAATCATTAGCCTTTGATATTTATAAATATCAAGGAGTGATTTGATATAGTTAAAGCTATGTATGTGCGATATTTTATCGACGAACCAACGCTAAATCTATATAGGTAACTCTACTGCAATCACTTTGGAATTTTTTTTTTTACGATGTAATGAAAATTCATTTAACACTAATATCCTCATTTCTTTCCTAATATATTCAAATTGATAGATAATTAATTGAAATTATTAATTTACGATTTCAGTTAAAAAATGCCGCAGCAAATGTGTTACGAGAAACGTGGTTGATCTATAAGCATACACGCCTAGTGAAACGCGTCAATCCTGGCCGTGTTCGAACGCATCAACGAAAGTTTCTACTGGCAATATACGCGTAAGTTGATTTGTAAGTTAGAATATCGGTGTACCCAGATGTACGGCCGTCTTGTTCGCGTTGAAACGACGTAAGCGTTCAACCGGACATATGGATTATTTAAAGTAAACTTCTCTTTGCAGACTGAGAAAAGTGAAAATGGATCAACGAAAGCTAATGGACAATGCCAATACGATAACGGACATGGCCAAGGTAGTAAAGGAATAAAAATGCATCATCGTTCATCGATCATGGTTAAGAGCGAAACTGAAATTGTTTATGAGTGTTCTAATAATAAATGTATTTATAATTATAATACATTCATATAAGTTTCGCCTTCGCCACGATCGAAATAGAGGAATGAATTATTTAATAAAATCATAATAATTAATGCTCATTGGAACGATATATTTATTGTATTGATGAGAATTCATGAATTGGGATTTGTGTGCGGTGTGTTTTTTTATTGTTATTCTTGTTATCGGTGGAAACGAATAGACGCAGAACACGGTCTACGAGATAGTCTCGGATATGAGCACGCGACAGGACGGGCTAGAGGAGCGGCTTGTTAGCCTGGAGGATCGGTTGGTTGGTCTTGAAGAGAAATTGAGCACGTTGCAGAGCCAATTGGAGATGCTACCGGAGGAGCTGACGCGGTGCCTAGCGCAACATGCCGAGCGTATGGAGCAGAGACGCAACTTCCTGCACCCGGACACGGCGGTTGCGATGGCGTCTTCCGGCGGTGCCGGTGGTGGCGTCTCCGCCGGTAACAGCCTCGGCTTGGGCATGTCCCATGGCGTTTTGGCTGGCGGCAACGCCTCCGGTCATCATCCCTTGGCAAATTTAGCGAACTCGCCGTCCCTCCTGCCGCATTCAAGGAGCGTACCCAGCGGACCGAGTGCACCAAGCACCATGTCTCTTCATCCTTGGCCGGTGAGTCCGGTCCTACCACCTGTGTCTAGTCGTACGCCTCATCTCGTCCCGGAGACTGGTCGACATCATGGCCACTCTACCGTCGTCGCTACGATCCCGAGCAGCAGCACGCTGACGGCGGCAGCAACGGCGACAGCCGCAGCGGCAGCGGCGGCGGCGGCAGCGGCAGCGGCGGCGGCAGCGGCGACGACAACGACGATGACGACGATGATGACCACAACCTCGCAATCGACCACCAGGTTAACCTCCCAAGCCGGCATGGGTGGACTCGGCAATAGCCAAGGCTCGGACACATCCGCGCACAGCTGAGTTTCGTCTCTGCAGCCGCAGCATTCTTACTAAACGGGGATCCTTCGAGAATATCTCCCTCTCTCTTTTTCTCTCACTCACTCTCTCTTTCTCTCTCTCTCTCTCTCTCTCTCTCTCTCTTTCTCTCTTTCTCTTTCTCTTTCTCTCCCTCCTTTTATCCTTGATTCTCTCAAATTCTCTCATTTCCTTATAACAAATGGACGATCTCATTGTCTTATTCCTTGAGAGAAAAAAATCTCGATGAAAACATCCTCCTTCATGACGGGTCCAATCCTTTTACCGATTGACGTTGCCTATTCGCCTAAATAATGCAAAGGACGGAAGTGTTTCTATCGATTAATCGATCGATCGATCGATCGATCGACCTTACGAGAGACGAGAGAGGAGTCGTGCGGTTATCGCCTAAGCGCGAACCGATAAAGAGAACGGGAGGAAACTCGAGGCCGGTTTCTCTTCCAATCTGCTGCTGCTGCTGCTGCGTGCTGCTACTCTGCCCAACTTGCGTGCCTGAAAACTTTTTTTCTTATCGATATAAATATATATTCGACACAGCACGGAAATGCTCCACCTTATATATATATATATATATATATATATATATTATATATATATAAATATATCTCTCTAATACCTCGAGTCGCGTATGCGCGGACGGGCACGATATTGCGTGTTTTATTAGCTCGAATTGGATTGTGCAAAGTGTTGCGTTGAGGAATACAATGTTTCCTTTCGAGTTCGACTCGCGCTGGCTCGAGCAACTAAGAAATTTGTACGCATTCGTATTACCTTTCTATCTTCTAAAGTATTGAAATATATAATATTTTTCTTGAAATTTTATAGTCCTTTAAACGACGATAATTAAGCCTACGTTCAATGAAAATACATATATAACTATACCAGCTGATGCGCAAGTTTATTAGAAGGAAGAAAAAAAAAAACAATGAAAAAAAGAAAAAAAGAAGAAAAAAAAAGGAAAAAAAAAAAAAAAGAATAGAGAGAGACAATTGTACGCATAATAAGAATATAATAAAAGTAACCGATTCTTTTTCTTTTTCTCTTTTTTTTTTTTCACTTATTACTATTTAAAAAAAAAAAAATGGAGAAAAAAAAATGAAAAAAAAAAATAAATAAATAAATAGATTGATATATAATTATTCATATATTTACTGATATAATTAAACAACGTTTTAGGAATCGCGTAGTAAACTGCATAGCGAAGAGGGGTAAAACGGTGAATATATACATATGTAGTTAGCGCATTAACTGGCCAATACGAATGTGTGAAATTGACGTGATCGATATTATTGGAATCGTTCGTGAAAAGGTTGGAAAAAGGGGAGAGCATTTTGACGGGCCTCCGTCGTTCGTTTCTTCGAAGTTTAAAGAAGAGAAGAAAAAAAAAAAAGAGAGAGAAAGAGAGAGAGGAAAGGTAAAACACATTCTTTCCTTTTCATATTCCATTCGAAAAGGAGAGAATGTGTTTTACCTTACGTGCGAACGATTCGACGAGCCATTTCGAGTTACTCGAAGGGATTCCTGAGATCGGAGACGAATCAAAATACTGTGAGAGAAAATATTTCTATTTCTCTAGTTCAATACTCGATAAGTTTATTTCGTTTGAAGAAAAAATTCAAATTCAACTTTATGCTTTTGAGATTGGTTACGATAGTACATATATATATACATACACACGCGCGCACACACACACACACACACACATTTATATATATATATTTGCCGATTAACTATTTCTCTCTCTTTTTCCCTTTTTATCATTCTCTCTCTCTCTCTCTCTCTCTCTCTTTCTCTCTCTCTCTCTTTCTCTCTCTCTCTCTCTCTCATTCTCTCTCTTTTTCTTTTTCTCTAAGCGTATTTCGTTTAAACAAAAACGATAGTGAAAAAAAAAAGAAAAAAAAGAGAAAAAATTTCTTTGATCGTACAGTATTTTTACACGGCTCCGAAGTGCTCTGGAATAAAAAGAAAATGAACGCAAAGTGATCTTATCCGCTTTAACGTCCGTAGGATTACGAAGCATATTAATATTGTTAGCGTATACATACATTACATGTTGTACATGGCGCACGGGTAAAAAAGATAGAGAAATGATTTAAAAAAAAAGAAAAAAAAAAAGAAAAAAAAAATAAAAAAAAAAGAAGAGAAGAAAAAGAAAGAAAAGCGAAAGTAAAAGCGAAAGGGAAGAAAAGACGGAGTAATGCAAAAAAGAAAAAAAAAGAAGGAAAAGAACAGAAAAGAAAAGAAAAGAAAGAAAATAATAATAATAATAATAATAATAATAATGGTCACGTTTCTAATCGAGGAGGAAGGAAGAAGAAATTTTTTACAAGAGGTAGAGCGGTCGAGGGAGGCGGACGGGGGTAGGGGGGTGCAAGGGTTGAGGGGGGGTACAAGGAGGGGGGGACAGGATATTGATCAATCGATTGATTAATTTTATTAATGGAAGAAAAAAAGAAAACAAATTACACATACAAGAAAAAAAAAAAATAAACAAGGAAGTGTAAGAAAAAGAAAACAAACGTATCGGTCAGAGTTATAAAACATGAAGTTATTTTGCCAAGGACATTTATGTTTCAACGTGTATCAATATAATGCGTGTGTTGGGTGAGATAGATTGGAAGGGTGAAAGGAAGTTGATGTGTTCGGTTTATAAGGGTTATGGGATGGTGGAGAGAGAAAAAAAAGAAAAAAGGAGGGATATACATAAAGGAGAAACAAAAAAAAAAAAAAAGAAAACATAAACGAAGTCAGAAACAACATAGAGAAATAATATAATAAAATGGGCGGGTGGGAGGTGGCGAGGGGTGAGACGTGAGGAGGGGAGGGAGTGGAGAGTAGGGGAAGGATGGGGAAACGGAGAAAATGGGAAAAGTGTAGGAAAAGAAGCGTGAAAGAAAAGTCGTGAGAAAGGAGGAGGGGAGTCTACGTTCGTTGTTTTCTTCGAAAGGAAGTAAAAGGAAAAAGGAGGAAAAGGAAAGGAAAAGAGAAGGGAATAGGAGGAAAGTAAAAAAGGAAAAGAAAGAAAGAAAGAAAGAAAGAAAGAAAAGAAAACAAGAAGAAAAGAAACAGGTGATTTATTCCGAAGATAAATCGGAGACCCGTCGGCGGACCGACTTTAACGTTCGTTGTTGCATCGAGCGTGTTCACCGCCTAAAAAGAGAGAAACGCGTGCAGTGTGTTAGCCAAGACTTTCTGCGAGCGCAATTGGAGATCCACAATGAAAGCGCAATCTTTCACGAGGGCGAGACGATCGCGTCAACCGCTAAGATAAATGATAGTAAGGGGATTTCGTGGGGAATGGGTTGAAGGAAAATAAATAAATAGAACAGTAAGATAGGGAAAGATAAGGAAAGAAAAGAAAAGATGAGAGAAGAAGGAGAAAAAAACAAAAAGAAAAAAAGAAAAAAAAAAAAAAAAAAGAAACAAAGCGGAAAGGAACGGGGCTGTCTCGCCCTCGTGCTAATCGTCCGTTCGTTATCGCGAGACGAAAGTTTGGGACCTGGTTTGTCTTGTCCGACGAATTCATTTTCATTTTCGAAAGCGCAGTTTCGCGGCTGTTTCGAAACGCGAAACGGGACCAAAAAAAAGACACACGTTTGTCACGATGTTCTCATACTGTATCCTCCTCCTCCTCTATCTCTTTCTTTCTCATTTTATCTCCTGTCTTTATGTATCTGTTTCCTTTTTTCTTTTATTTTTTGTTTCGTTTTGTTTTTCGTTATCCTTCCTTTTTTTCCTTTCTTTTATCTTCTATCGTGTACGTAATTCTCTCTCTCTCTCTCTCCTCTCTCTCTCTCTCTCTCTCTCTCTCTCTCTCTCTCTCTCTCTCTCTCTCTCTCTCTCTATCTCTATCTCTATCTCTCTATCTCTCTACGTTTTTCGATAGTTCGTTTTTAAATGTCCTTTTGCCTTTATCTTCTATTTCTCTGTATTTCTTTTCCTCTCTCTCTCTCTTTTCGTCTGTCTGATTCCATCTTTCATCTGTCTGTCTCTCTCTCTCTCTCTCCCCCTCTTTCTTTCACTCTTTCTTTCTCTCTTTCTTTCCGCGACTCAACGCGCTGGACACGACAACTCCACGATATTTTTATATAGATTTCTTAAAAGTGCATTATAGTGCCAGGAAGACCACGCTGAGTTAAATCAATAAATAAATAAATAAATAATTAAAAGCATTAAAAAAAAAAAAATAACAAAAAAAAAACAAACAAACAAAAAAGAAAAAGAAGGAGAAGAAGAAGAAGAAGAAGAAGAAGAAGAAGAAGAAGATGAAGAAGAAGATGATGATGAAAATGTAACAATCTCAATATTGGAACATTAGACGATAGACACCGATTCTATATAATATTCTATAATGTATAAATACACGATAATAGATGATAATGACCAGAAAGTTGAATGGTCTGGCGCATAATCGTTACGTCTTCGAAAAAGATTTTTTTAGGTTTGTAATATTGTAATGATAACGAGATATGGGAAATAATGTTTGTGTATTAGAAATAATATCTAATTATTTGGAGTATTAAAAAAACGATTGATTTAAAAAGAAAATTTTTATCGATCTAAGAAAAAGAGAGAGAGAGAGAGAGAGAGAGAGAGAGATAGAGAGAGAAAGAGAAAAATGTTCGATGGTACGAAACTTTGTCAAAAAAAGTATCGCGAAAAAATATTAGACGATAGCATTGTGAAGCGATTAAACGATATTAGAATCTCAAACGAAGATGAATTGAACACAAATCGATCGAAATTTGTGATATTTAGCGATTATTCGCCATACCGTAAACTGGTTGAAAGTTTAGCCACGACCACTTAGAGAGATTTAGAAACGAATCTGAACGCGTTAGTAATCGTTAGCAGGAGTATCTGCCAGAGTCAGTTTAGATCGTTTATTTAGGATATACATAATACATGTATATGTATATTTTCGCGAGACGAGAAGAGAACCTCTAGAGCGAAATATCAAGCGAGATAAAGTAAAAAGTTCAGGAGAGAGAGAGAGAGAGAGAGACAAAAAAGAAAAAAAAAAGGAAGCAAAAAAAACCGGGAGAAAATTATTTGGAAAAGAGAAAAGAAGAAAATGAACAAGCAAAAAGAAAAAAAAATAAAAAAAAAAAATAAAACAATGAAATGAATAAATAAAATATCCGTATCGACGCGCGATCCAAGTACTCGCGTTATATTCCACTTACGGCCTTCAAATTTCAAACGAATTTCAAATACCATACCTAAATAAATAAAGCGTTTTCTCAGTCGCGTTATTATACGACGATACGAAACGATCGAAACGAAAAATTAAAAGGACTATGATGAAAGATATATATGAGAAGAAAAGAAAAAGTGAAGATGATAAATTGATACGCCATTCAAGATGAACGTTCAACAACGACGAGAATGATACGAGATAAAAATAAAGACTTGGAAAATGTTTAAGAAATAAAAAGAGGATAATACTTTATCGTAGAATAGACCGAGAAAACCGATTTAGAAATGACTTTATAAAGGACTTAGAAACGCACGTTGTTCCATCTTTCCTCTATTTTCCTTTTCTAAATCCACCTATCTATCCACCTATTCACCCACCCTCTCCCCCTCTCTTCCTCCCTATTACTCCACTCATCGCATCGATATCATTCTCCAACTTGAAGATATATAATTTCTTCTTCTGCTGTTATCAAATCGATCGAATCGATTTTATCATCAAATCTCGGAAAGCGACAATTTAGAAATTGGTATAATAAATGATGCCCTAATCATTGTCGTTAGAGTTAACACGATAAAGGAAGATATTATCGCCCGTATTAAATTTAGAAAAAGAAAAAGAAAAGAAAAAAAAAGAAAAACTCATTTTTCAAACGAGGGCGAGAAAGTTGTCCCTAGCGTAAATTTCTATACAAGCGCATTATGGTTATATTATTGTGTACTTAATAATTTATTATTATTGTTATTGTTGTTATTGTTATTATCATCATTATTATTCAT